ATCATACATATGAACAATAAGATGAATAAAGATTAGTTGGATAGAAACTTGTTTGTAACCAGATAGAAAAATTTAATACATAGATGAAATACTACAATCAATTAATTTAGATCAAAAGTGACTAAATTATGACTAGATCACACTTGCTAACATATTTCCGTGGAAGAGATAATTAATCCTTTGAGGTGGCCTAAATCATGAGATGATGCACATTTCATGTGCTAATACACTTGCTTTATCCATCAAGTGCTCCGATACATTTGGTCTCATCCTTTTCACCTTTTGGGGACCAAGACAAGAAGTTTCCTTTCCCATGCTTTGCTTTTGGGACACTTATTCTTTGGTTTCTCATTTTCTGTGTAGAGGTCCTATACAAGCAGCCCTAATGCTCCAAATTAATCTTCAAAATGTTGCTTAAATTAGCCCATAGTTTCATTGATCACATAAACAATTGCAGATAATTCCATCTTCCCAGGGATTAAAAAAAGTTAACGTCACATTGCTAGTTTAATTTTAGTTCTAAAAAAATTATTAACGTCACATTAAAATAAACAGGAAATGAAAAAAAAAGAGGTTTTCCAAAGGACATATATTAATTAAATTCAAAGCTTCTTAATTATTCTAAATTAATTAACAAAAGTCCATTAAGGGATATTTCAATGGTTAATAATTCGAATCTCTATATTGGAAGTCTCAAATTTGAATTTTAAGATGAGTAGAGAGAGTTTGGGTAAGGGTAATCCCTTTGTATAAACCAATGGCAAACAAACCAAGAAAATTTATTAAAAGAAAAAGGACAATGATTCACGCACCTGCTGGTTCGACACCCGACGGGTGCACACTATATAAACTAAATAATTTTAAAAGTAAAATTATAAATTTACCCTCTTCACTAAACCCATTTCCCAAATGACAGCAAGAATAAATCTTAGCAAAACTCAATCAAGCATTCGAGCACTAAATCCATCCTTATCCTAATCATCTGCAAGATAATTGGCAGTCGTACCAGGTTCCCACCTTCTTCCTCTTTTTTTTTTTTTTTAAAGAAAAAAAATTCCTCTCTCGGGTTCTCCAAGAGAACCCAATCTGGGTTCTCCAGCAGAACCTGATCTGGGTTCTCTAGATGGAGAGAAAAAAAAAAAGAGGAAGAAGGAAAAAGGAAGAAGACAATAGGAAGAAGATAATGAATTTGCTAGAAGAGGGAGATGGAGAGACAAGAAGAAAAAAGGGGTATTGGGAGGAAGATGACTTTTAAGGATAAATTTATAATTTTATTCTTATAATTATTCGGTTTTATAGAGTGTGTACTCTCGAGTGTCAAACCAGTGGGTGCACTAAGCATTTTCCAAAGAAAAAACAGATGGGTCGATGATTAAATAATTTTTGAATTAGATGAATGATTGGAGATGAACAATGTTGATGCCCTGCAGATTTGAACTTAATTCGGATCAAATAATATGGTTTAGTTTGGTTGGTAACATAGATGGGGGCCGATGGAAACCCTAGTTGAATTGATGGGTTCTTGTTAACAAGTTGCTATCATGTTCAAAGAACCAATAGAAGGAGAAACATTTTAAATAGAGAACTCTTAAAATCTAAAGAATGAAGTTCTCAAAAGTACTACAATGGGGGTAATGATCATCCTAGCTTTTATATATCAAGATTTTGTTTATTGTTGTTTGATAATTAAGTTCTTTAATCATCATCACATGTCTAGGCTTTACACATAAGTAGGACCTATCTTATGATTAAGCATCCCCACATTTTTCAATCCATATAAAAAAATTGGATAAATTTCATCCATTCATAGTGGAGAATGAACAATCAAAAGTTTGTGTAAGATGTTGTGTATAAATTGATTCTAACTCTGATATGCGCTATTCTTGTGTGTATATGTATATAGTGAAAATCCAACTGTATGATCAAATAGTCTATTTCTATATATCATACATAACAATTTTCAAAGTTGATATAATATCTATAATCAAATGATTAAGAAACTAAATTTTCCTAAATATATCTAATGATGTTAAATTTTTGTATAATTAATTAATTAATTATATTTAATCAATTTGAAAATTGACATGCATCTTGAATAGAAATATTAGCTCTTCAACAATTAATTTTTTAAAATATTCATTGAATTGAGATTCCATAGAGTTAGGATTGATAATTATTTATAATAAATATGATAAAAGTGAATAAATTTCAATAATTGAAAGTGAGAGATAAAGGGTTAAAATTTTATGTTAGTGTGATGTATAAAACTTGTGTATAAATGGATCTCCTACTCTCTCTCTCGCACACACATATATAAGACATTAATTGATATACACTCATGTTTGACATAGCATACAATATAATTATTAAAAATTATTATTTTTTGGTCTAATATTAAAGATAAATATACTTAAAAATCAATCATGTACACAAAATATAAGAATTGACTGAATCAATTATATTTATATTATATTTTTAATTACTCAATTGGATAGATGTCAAAAAATGTGTTGTACTGGAATGTGTACTAATTATTTTTCACATATATATATAGTTTTTCTTTTATTTTCTAACTTTGAATCTATATATATTTATTTATTTATCAACATCGCATTTGGGCAACAACTAAGCTTAATTGAATCTAGTGTTTTAGTTAGAGAGGAAAAACTTTATATTAAATACAATAATCTTCTAAAAATATGTAAGGCTAAAAGTGGAAAGGAAATGACGAGATTTTTGATTTTTTGAGGGCTAGCTAATTGAATTGCCTCCAAAAGATGTCTCAACCGGTAAACATTGAGACTCTATTTTAAGTATATGTTCAATTTTTAATATTACTTAAACATTTGACGTTTCCTTTGATCCAGTTTATTAGGTTTCTTTTTTTGATAAAATCAGAAGCCAGAAATAGGTTTCAAGAGCATTTTTCTGCCACATGAGAGATAAGACTAAGCACAAAACTCTAAGAAGCATAGCCTTTTTTTATAAATACCATGCACATGCATATTTTTTTCAAACAATATCCTATCTAAAAATATAAATTTATTATTCTTAATTATATTTAATTAATATTTTATATATTTTACTAATTTAATTACTACTTTATATATATATTTAAAAATAATAAAAGAAAAAAAACCTAAGCTACAATCACAATCTAGTACAATACTCACAAACGAACCCATAGTGTCAGAATTGTATCACCATCGTGCTGCAAGCACTAAGGAGGAGGAAGACAAAAGCATTATGCCTGGCCGTAGGAGCGCTCAAGTGATGCCATATTCTCCAGGGGGTGCATTGGAGCCTGCAATAGGTGAGGGTTTCTTAAGCCATAAGCGTAGGTAAGGTAGGATTTTCTATCAAAAAAACCTGTTGGACGAACCGTCTTGTTTATTTAGGTAGAATCTCGCCCTTAACTACTAAACGACCGTTGCGTTGGACCATAATAAAATACGCATTACAAAGAGGTCATGTGGTCATGAGGAGGGAGCGGTGTGACTCAAATTAATCAGGACTTGGACATACATGAAAAAAAAAAAAAAAAAAATCTAATCACTCAATGAGCAATTAGGGAAGTGAACTCAGTCCTTTGCATTGCTCTTCCTAAAACTTTTTCCTATACCTCAATGCATTTTTTTTTTTGGCTATTTTAACCTTTAAGAAACTTTTAAAAGATTGCTTTTTCTGGGAATTTGTAGACAACCACAACCATTTTCCCCATAAAATAGGAAGTAACAATTTAAAATGTTAATACAATATAACCCCCATCCCCTTAACAATAAAATGTTAAAAAAAACAATTGCCTCTTTAAAAAATATTTTACAATGTTCACCAATATTTCACGGGATTCATGTTTTATACAGTGGACTTGGTTTATGAATTTATTAAAATATTTTTAATGAAATAATATAAAAAATAATTTTATTAAAAGTATTTTAATAAATTTATAGGATAGACCGCTTTTTTAATATACAATCTACCTTATATATTTTTTTTTGTGTTTTTGTTATGATTTTCAATTCAAACAATAAAAATAATTACAGCACAACTATAACAATTTTTATAAATAATTACTTACAAAAATGTGTTATGCAGTTTTGATTATAAAAACCTATACAACTTAAATTATTAAATATAAATGGACCTTTTAATAATAAGAGTTGTCCCTTCATCTAATGATAGACTATAAAATAAGAAATTCATTGCTTAAACCTAAAAATAACTTATGAAATAACATAGTTAAATAATAAATATTAATTATTTTAATATTTTTTTAATTATTTTTAACAATTAAATTAAGATAAAAATTTAATGATTTTTAGTAATCTTAAAAAATTTAATAATGGTTATAATAATAGCTCAAAAATTGATTTAGAAGAAAAAACAATAAAGTTATAAAAAAAATTTAGAAAAGGGGATAAAATTAAAATGCGAGAAGTTTAAAATTAGGCATACATTTCCTCACCCGCAAAAATATAAACCGTTAAGCTGTCTCCAAGCGTGAGGGTCGGAAGCAGGTTCGGTGCACAGCCATCCTCTTCATATTAGAGAGAGAAGGTTTTAGAGAAAACAGAGAGAGAACTGAGAGAAAGCGAGAGAAAATCTTTTGAACACCAAACAAAAATTCTCGCTCTCTCAATCTCTCTGTTCTTGCACAGAGAGATCAAAACACAAAAAAAGGACAAAAATTTAAAATAGAAAAAAAAAAAAAAAACAAAGAAGAGAAACCCATCTCGGTTTTCTGTTTGAATCCGTTTTCCCAGTTTCTGAAGAGAGCTTCATTGCAAGATAAAGGAATTATATGGGTTGCTCTTGGGTTCTTTTTGGATTCTGGGTTTGATGTTATGTGGGCAAAGATTGAGTTTTGAGAATTGGGTCTGGTTTTTTCTGCGTTGGTTTTGAATTCAACAGCTAGTTTTGCTGGGAATGTCGACGGAACAGGCTTTGCAGCTCTCTGCGGAATCAATTGTAGAGGATGTGCTTCAACAGCAGGCGAAGAGCAATGTTGATTTTTATTCCATGGTTAATTCAAGAAAAGCCGAGGAAGCTTGTAATGATCAATCATTTCTTGGTTTCTTATGCGTAATTTTAACATTTTTTGCGTTATTTTATTTAAGTTCTGATCAATTTATACTTTCACTCTTCGTATGATCGATGATTTATTCTCATTTTCTTGTGATATTTGAGCATTTATGTTCTTTCTCTAAATTCTTTTTTATCAGTATTGTTGAGCTTCATTTTGACATTGTTTCGGTGTTTTCTTGTAAGAACGAGAATTGCTTCTTCTTCTTCTCCTTCTTCTTCTATTTGTACTTTCTCTGTTTGGGTTTTGAGTGTTGATATTGATAAAGCATATGATTGATTTTGAAATTGAGGTTTCACTTATTCTTAGTTTTATGATAATATTGAAGAAATGAAAAGACATAAACAACAAAGGTTTTAATTTTTTTCAGCCTTGAGAAGGAATGAAGCTGCTGGGTGGCTGAGAAAGACAGTTGGAGTTGTTGCTGGTAAAGATTTACCAGCAGAGCCTTCTGAAGAAGATTTCAGGCTTGGATTACGCAGTGGAATAATCCTTTGCAATGTCCTTAACAAGATTCAACCTGGATCAGTTCCCAAGGTATACCGTTAGCATTGTCTTTCATTATTGCAGTTCATATCAATACTTCGTGTTGTAGATGATTTTTCTTTTCCTTAATTTTTCTGTGTTGGAATTTCATTTTAGGTGGTTGAAAGGACGAGTGATTCTGTTCTTATTCCTGATGGGAATGCTCTATCTGCATTCCAGTACTTTGAGAATGTTAGGAACTTCCTTGTAGCAGTAGGAGAAATGGGCATTCCAACTTTTGATGTCTCGGATTTGGAAAAGGTGAGTATGAATGTTTTGACTAAAACAAAATACTTGGACAATGGAAATGAATATTTATCAAGGATTTGGTTAATTTGTGATATTTTCTTCTTAAATTTGGATTTTTTCAGGGAGGTAAATCTTCGAGGATTGTGAACTGTGTTCTAGCATTGAAGTCTTACAGTGAGTGGAAACAAGGTGGAGGAAATGGATCATGGAAATATGCTGCAAATGCAAAACCACCAAGCTCAGGGCCAGGGTCAGCAGGGAAGCACTTTCTTCGAAGAAATTCAGAACCATTCATGAATTCCGCTATGAGGTCCTTATCCGAGAAGTCAGTAGACAGCTTGTTCAGTGAGCAGTCTGACACCTGTGAAGCAGTTAGTGAGCTTTGTTATTTGTTCATAATTGTTTTATTTGTGCTAAGGAAGAGAGGAGAAAAAGCCTAAAACATCACTGATATCCACTCTGCAGGATCCCAGCACTAATCCCTTATATTCACTAGTTCGTGCAGCAATTTTGGATAAGAAGCAAGAAGAAATTCCAATGGTAAGTTTCCTCTCCTTTAATGTGAAAATACTGATTGAGTTATCATAGTCAGGAAAGGAGATCTAGAGTAGAATCTAATATTCCACAAACTTATGAGGCAAATACTAAAAATGCAAAACCGAGCAAAGTCGGCTAAATGTTAAAACCATCAAGTTACAACGTCTAGCTGTATTGATTTGTGTTTATAATTTTCATTAGGGTCAAATATTGGTTGTAAAGCTTTAACCTTGATACCTGAACTAACCATTCTTGTCTTGAACCCTCTGTAAATAACAGATTGTGGAATCTATGTTAGGGAAAATCATGGAGGAGTTTGAGCATCGATTAGCAAGCCAAAATGAACTGGTAAGGAACTCTCCTTTTTCAGCACAGGTGTTCTGTTTTAGACAGGTTTGTGTTAAGGGTGGACTCGTGGAGTGGAGAGCATGCACTGATTGTCTAGTTCATCTTTTAGGATAGAAGAAGCATTACTTGAGTGCTTAGTTTCTCATGTGCACCTGTTTCTCAATGATAAAAGTAACTTTGGTAATCTGACAGATTAAAACAATCCAAAAGGATGCAGAAGAATCTAGCGCCTACAGTTTGCTTTCAAGAACTATTTCTTTTGATTCCAAGGTATGACTGATTTTTTGTTCTTTTTGTATGCGGCCTATTACTGTTGATTGTTTCATATGCTTCTGTTTTCAAATTCTTTATGATGAAGGGTGAAGAGGAAGCCCCAGCAATGAAGGTTGAAGTGGAAACTCCAATAGAGGTTGAAGTAGAAGGTTCAACTGTGAAGGCTATTGGAGCTGAAACTCCAAAAGATAAACAGAGCGAAAATGAATCTTCAACACAAATAGGAAAAGAGAAATGTGACAATCAGATGTTGGTTGAACAACGACGAGATGAGGAAAAAGAAGCCAATTTTTTGAAATTGAGAGAGAAAATGTTGATTGAACAACAACGACGAGGTGAGGCATCAGAAGCTCATTTTTTGAAATTGAAACAGCAAATGTTTATTGAACAACAACGACGAGGTGAGGCATCAGAAGCTCATTTTTTGAAATTGAAACAGCAAATGTTGATTGAACAAGAACGACAGGAGGAGGAATCAAAAACTCATTTATTGAAACAGAAAATGTTGGTCTATAAACAACACCAAGATGTTCAGGTAGTTTGCACTCTGCAGCAGTGTCATTTCAGTTATACAAGCTTCTATTTTTTAAATCTTCTTTAAGGATGTAACTCTTAAATTTCTGGTTTTTCTAGAAATTGAAACACACTCTTCATGGTACAAAAGAGGTTATGCAACTCCTGCAAGTGAAATGCTTGGAGGAATTGAACAATCTAGGTATAAATCTTAATTCAAATCTAAGCATGCTTTTGTGTGGCTCTCAGTAAAATGAAAACTAAATTTCTCATTTTATCTTTTCTTCTTAGGTAAGCATTTGCTTTCACTAGCCCATGCTGCTTCAGGATACCAACGAGTTCTTGAGGAAAATCGCAAGTTATACAATCAACTTCAGGACCTGAAAGGTAGCATTCCTAAGATTTTAGCATTTGATGCAATGACTCTGTTATCAACTCCGAATTAATTCAAAAGTATACTTCATTCTTTGATAAATTTGCTTGTTCTTTGGAACATCATGTTGATTAGGAAATATTCGAGTGTACTGTCGAGTAAGACCATTTTTAGGAGGGCAATCAACTCGTCTAGCTAGTGTTGTGGATAATATAGATGAAGGAAGCATTTCTATCATAACCCCTTCCAAATATGGAAAAGATGGACGAAAATCATTTACTTTCAACAAAGTTTTTCGTCCTTCAGCAACCCAAGGTTAGTAAGTCTAGCAAAGGTTTTCCCCACATTTTCTATACAATATTTCTGACCTAAGAACAAATTTTCCTTCCTTGCAGCTGAGGTGTTCTCAGATACTCAACCTTTGATTCGTTCCGTTCTTGATGGTTACAATGTCTGTATATTCGCTTATGGCCAAACAGGAACAGGAAAAACTTACACTATGGTAAGAAATGCTTATTTCATATTCTGTTATGTCTTCCTTCTTCTTCTTCTTCTTCTTTTTCTCAGTAACATGTAGTCATTCAATCAACTTCTTTTAACTCATCTCTTTCGTAAATCCAGACTGGACCCAATGAGCTTACGGAGGAAGGCCTAGGAGTAAACTACAGGGCACTGAGTGATCTATTTCTTCTCTCAAAGCAGAGGAAAGACACCATTTGCTATGAAATTGCTGTGCAGATGCTTGAGATTTACAACGAGCAAGTCAGGGATCTCCTTGTGACTGATGGTGGTCTTAATAAGAGATATCCTATTGAACAGCCAAGTTTGGTTTTTTATGATTTATATTTGTTTAATATATCTTGTTGTCCTTCTTGTGAGCTTGACTCTTCCATACATTAGAAATTCGAAACAGCTCCAGTAATGGGATCAATGTACCAGATGCAAACCTTGTACCGGTATCTTCAACATCTGATGTTATAAATTTGATGAACCTGGGGCATAAAAATCGTGCAGTCGGTGCTACAGCCATGAATGATCGAAGCAGTCGATCTCATAGGTAACATATTATGTTTTAATTATGTTTTTGAGACTACTGAATGTAGTATTTTTATGCTCTTTATGATACTAAAGGCTTTGTATTCCGTATCTACTTCCAGCTGCTTGACTGTTCATGTTCAAGGGAGAGACCTGACATCTGGGACCATTATTCATGGCTCTATGCATCTGGTTGACCTGGCAGGGAGTGAGAGGGTAGACAAATCAGAGGTGACAGGAGATAGGTTGAAGGAGGCAGTACACATCAACAAATCTCTTTCAGCTTTAGGAGATGTCATTGCCTCTCTTGCTCAGAAAAGTCCACATGTTCCCTACAGAAACAGTAAACTCACTCAATTGCTCCAAGACTCACTTGGTAAGATTATCTGATTCTTTGTAGCCTATGGAGGCATTACCTTTTTATTATCTGCTGATTTTGCATCATGATTGTGTTAATGATCTGATCCTTACTATCTTTCAGGAGGACAAGCCAAAACACTCATGTTTGTTCACATTAGTCCTGAGCCTGAGGCTCTGGCAGAAACACTTAGCACCCTAAAATTTGCTGAACGGGTTGCTACTGTTGAGCTAGGTGCTGCTAAAGTAAACAAAGATATTGGAGAAGTGAAAGAGCTAAAAGAACAGGTTTTTTCAGTTTTTACATGCCTTGGATATAGCAAGCTGAAAAGTTTCTATAGTTCATGCCTAATTGTAGTCAAAACTCAAAGTTGTTGGACATGTCCTCCCATTAATTATACCTCACACACTAGTTTTTCTAATAAAAAAAATTGAGTATTTTGTATTAACTGACTTTTTTCAGATAGCTAGCCTTAAAGCAGCCTTAGCAAGGAAGGAGGCAGAAGTTGATCAATCCAACTACTCTCAAACCAGCAGCCCAGAAAGACTAAGAACAAAGCTTGACACATCTCCCTTACATCCTAAATACCAGAGTACAGGTGATATTCCCAGCAGTCGAAGGCAATCATTGGACAATACGACTACCACAGAGGTATGATTCATTATAACTTTTAGGAACAAATCAAGTTTCATAGTTGGTTCAACCATCATGTTTAAATGGTAGTTGTTTGTAGAATGGCATATTGGATAAAAACCAAAAATCATATTGATTCCTTAAATTGTACTCATCCACCCAAAACAATTAGGAATTTGGATAACATGATTTTAGTTGCATCTTTGATATTCAACCAACCATAAGAATTACCTAACATGGTAATCTTGCCTGCTACTTCAGAATGATTCATCATCCACTTCAAGAAGACACAGTCTTGATCTCCAAGAATTTTCAACTCATTCGTCTCCATGGCCTCATGTAGATAGTCCTGCTTTGAGTATAAAGGATGATGATAATGAATCAGTTTCCAGTGATTCGGTTGAGAAGGTCATGGTGAACAAGATTGAAAACTTAAAGTTTGGAAGTTTAGAACCTCAGAAGTTTTTTAAGAGTTGTATCCCTGTTCCTACAAAGATATTCCCCGAACAAAACTTAAATAAATTGATTGCAAACAGAAGGGACAGCCAGGATTGTGATGTACAGCGAATTCGGTATGAAGCTGCCTCCACTGATGACTCTGACCTTGATGCTGCAACTAGTGAAAGTTCAGAGACAGACTCACTTTGTCAATCCAATATTCCAAAAGTTACCAACATTCTGAACGGGCTAGGCCCTAAAGCAAAGAAACCTCAACCGAAGGCAACGAAGAGCAATGAAACTAGGTAAGCTCTCTCTGATCAGCAACAGTCCTTTCCCCATTAAGCAGAACTGCAGAAGCACTGGTGCTGCTTTACATTTATATGCACATACAATACTTTTTGCTATGGTAAATTCTCCTCACAAAACACTTCATGCTAACACTTGTTGTCTTTATTTCTCCTATAGCTTAAGCCTGCCATCTCAGAATGATTTAAGATATATTTTACTCCAATGCTATAAGTAGACATAAAATAATGGTTCTTTTTTGTTACTGCCAAACTTAATTAATTCTGCCATTTTAGGATGTTTGACCAAATTTGATTTTCCTTTTCTGGTTTCCAATAAATAGGAGTTCAATTCCATCCTTAATTCCTTCAATAATGCAAGCACGTAAAGGTCCCAATGCTGTTAATTCAAACTTGCAAAAGCCGGGGAGACAGCAAGTTGCTGTAGATGGAAAGCGAAAACTTGGACATGCAAAGTAAGCATATACCATACAAACTGTCTTATGGGAACTCTCCTTGCCACTCTTTTTTTTCCTTTTAAACTTTTTACCCCCTTTTATTTGTATCTATCATCTAGTTGTAGAAAAAGAGAGGAAGAGGTTCATATATATCAATCAATTAGTGGCAACCAATTCAGTTGCCAGGGTTTAATTGTGGCATCATGGTATTGTTTGATGTCTTCGAGTGGCTTACACAAGTGTGGATTTTGGGAATTTATTTTTTTCTCTTCCTTTTCCTTTCAATCGTTCTTTTTCATACTGAACAAGAAAGAAAAAAAAAAAAGTTTACATATGAAAGCAAACGGGATAAATTTGTGCACCATCTTCTCCTCTTTTCTCTCTGAATTGCAGATGCATATTTTACCCTCCCCTTTTGTATGATGAAGTTTAGGACTATATTTTCCATAATTTCATGGCACAATCATCATTGTTAGAATTATAAAGGTTTGTTGGACACTTAATTAAAGATTAATAGATATTAAATGGTTATAGACAAACAAGATATTCCAGTCAATTTTGAATATGATATACTTCATTGAAACAATTAGAAAGTAGTTTGTCTTTATTATATTGGAGGATATGACCAAATCCATCCACTTGTTTTTGGCCTGCAGGTAATTCTTAATTAAGATTACGAAAAACAAAGTATTGTAAAGTTCAGGCTTAACTCTACAATATCAACCATTAGCACCCTTATTTGATAGGTCGGTGTTTTACAATTTAGTATGGTTGAGATGATAAAGTATTAAACTTTTAAAATTGGAAGGATTTCTTATTTTAGTTGAAAAACTCATGTGTCCTATATCCCTAAGCAACAACAAAAATGTTATAATTATAATATTATATGACATTATAAATTTATAATATCATATATTGTGATATAATTAATTTTTTTTTAGAGGTTTACTTGTGATATTATATATATTCACTCATTTAACATCACATAATATTCATTTATTACAACGTTATAATTATAAACTTATAATTGTATATGATATTTTAATTATAACATTGTCTAGCCAACATTGATGAGTTTGGGTATTCTTTTTTCATTTTTTTTATTTTAAATTGTATGATATAATAAAAAACAACTCTCTTTTATCATATAATGCACCCTACCGGACATCTGTATGTTATATGATTTGAATTCATAATATCTTATTTTTATTAAAACAAGATTATCACTAAAACTTTTTAAATAATTGATGGTATACCTTTCATTTTGTTGTATGATAAAACGGATTATCTTGATCTTCTTGAGATACAAATTCTAATGCAAAGGGACTTGAAATTTGATTCAAAAACTTAAAACATTCCACTGTGGTACAAGTATAATAATTTTATATAATATTTATAATATGACTTACTATTAAATAGATTAATATAAGTATGATTTCTAAATGAAAATAATTAATCACAAGATATCTCATCATGTTATATTAAGTATTGTATTATATTTAAAAACATTATATATTACCATATAAGATATGATTTATTTATACATAATTTTTTATACATATTTTTCATGTAAAATTTTAATAATTCACTTCTTTACTAAAATAGTGATAAAAAGCAGAGAATAACTTTTTAAGTAAAAAATAATTATTCTTAAAAATTAAAATAAAAAGTCAACAAATTTCACCCATTCATAATAAAAAAATAAATTATTGTGATTTTATATAAGTAACGGGTATAAGATTTATACATAAATAAATCTTAAATCAGATATGAAAGTAGATAAAAAATGATCCTAAATTTTCTAGAGGTGACTTTGAACCTAATTAATAACTCTTGAGATTATCAATAACCTAAATAGCTCAATAGTCATCTTCTTTTATTGAAAATAAAATATTCTGAGTTTGAATCGTATGACATGCAAGTGAGATAGAATAAAAAATGAAAAATAATTGTCTCCCACTGTGCAATAAAGATAAAAAAAATAAAAAAAAAAACTCTTAGGATTAAATTTAAAACAAAATTTTGAAACCAAATTTTTTTAACCGTTGATCATATGAGTATATATAAGACATACATCATAATTAATAATTACCATAAATTCATTCTAAATTTTGGTCCTAAAAATTAGTTTTAATTATCATTGTTTTTTTAAGCCTTCTCTCCCCAATAAACATTCACTTGAGTTGATTGTTTTACTTTAAAAGAAAATTTTATATTTTAAATTATTAAATAAAAAATTCTTCCAAAATTAAAAATTATTTTTATATAATAATTTTTATTTTTCAATTTAATACCATTCTTATTTTAAAATAATATCTCTTATTTTATTGGTAAGAAATATACATTTTCGATTATTTTTTTAAGAATAAGAAAGGAGGGTAGAACAACTCACTCTAATTCAATAACATGGATCTTGAATTAAACGTAGTTTATTTTTTTGTAGGTGACATGC